CAAAACAACTGGAGCACTCACTTGAACACCATTGGCATTGACAAATTCGCTATTAGTCAATTGCAAAAGGCGGTCTTACTAGGAACTGCTTCCATCCTGCGACGATATCTGTAATACCATCAAACATCCACATCTGCCTATCCCAGGTCCTGGGTAAGGACTCGATAAGTAGACAAAATGCCAAATCCAGTCTGAACATCTGGCTGACTGTGCGATGATCCATAATAATAATAATAATAATAATAATAATAATAATAAGAATAAGAAGAAGAAGAAGAAAAGAAGAAGAAGAAGAAGAAGAAGAAGAAGAAGAAGAAGAAGAAGAAGAAGAAGAAGAAGAAGAAGAAGAAGAAGAAGAAGAAGAAGAAGAAGAAGAAGAAGAAGAAGAAGAAGAAGATCATCCAGGAGACAGAAAGAATAATAGGAAATCAACCTTCCCAGTCCCGCCTTAGGCATGGGCCAATCACCAGGAGACAATGAGTAATGTGCTCTGGCATCAGGTTTCCTCCTGGCACAAATGGTGTATGATGAACAGAACAAGAGATGAGAATTATATTTAAAGTAAAATAATAGCTAGTTGAGGAATTCTGGGAGTTGAAGTCCACAGGTCTTAAAGTTGCCAAGGTTGAGGACCTCTATAATAAAACATAGGTGCTATAGGAAGATAGTCCCTAGTGCAATCAATCTTGCTTCCCTCCACAAGAAAAGAGACAGGAAAAGCAGCAGGGAAATATAAAACAATTATGCATGTCAGACCAAGCTGTGTAATTCTCCGAGAGCTGGCCAGCAGAACACCATGCTTCAGACATGGAAATTGGATAACAAAATACAGCATTGGGGCATGAAAGATGGGAGGTTTATGTATAATTTTGCTAACTATTGGAATGTAATAGTAATAGTAGTAAAGTTGGAAGGGACCTTGGAGGTCATCTAGTCCAATCCCCTGCTCAGGCAGGAAACCCTACACCATTTTGGACAAATGGCTGTCCAGTCTCTTCTTAAAAACTTCCAGTGTTGGAGCATTCACCGCTTCTGGAGGCAGGTTGTTCCACTGATTAATTGTTCTCACTGTCAGGAAGTTTCTCCTTAGTTCTAGGTTGCTTCACTCCTTGATTAGTTTCCACCCGTTGCTTCTTGTCCTGCCTTCAGGTGCTTTGGAAAATAGCTTAATTCCCTCTTCTTTATGGCAGCCCCTGAGATATTGGAATACTGCTATCATGTCCCCCCTTGTCCTTCTCTTCGTTAAGCTAGACATACCCAATTCTAGCAACCGTTCCTTATATGTTTTAGCCTCCAGTCCCCTAATCATCTTTGTTGCTCTTCTCTGTACTCTTTCTAGAGTCTCAACATCTTTTTTACATCGTGGTGACCAAAACTGGATGCAGTATTCCAAGTGTGGCCTTACCAAGACATTGAAGAGTGGTATTAATACTTCACGTGATCTTGATTCTATCCCTCTGTTAATGCAGCCCAGCACTGTGTTGGCCTTTTTGGTAGCTGCAGCACACGGCTGGCTCATATTTAGGTGATTGTCTACTAGGACTCCGAGGTCCCTCTCACAGTTACTACTATTGAGCATGGTGCCACCTATGCTGTACTTGGGCATTTGTTTTTTCTTGCCTAAATGTAGAACCTTGCTTTTTTCACCATTGAATTTCATTTTGTTAGTTAGTGCCCAGTGTTTGTATCTTGCCTTTCAATCAAGGTAATCATGAGCCTTTATTAGCCTAAGGAAAAGGACAAAGAGTTTATTAGTGTAATTATTCTTCATTTTAGTGTCTTTTGGCTATAATAACAACAATTCAGAGAGGAAGAACTGAAAGAGCAAAGGGCCCGGGTGTTTTCTCAATGAAAACAAGGCCTGTGGCTGTGCTTCCAAATGTCTTACTTCCTTGGGTGGTGAAAAGCAGTGGTGGGATTCAACCGGTTCGCACCACTTCGGCAGAACCGGTAGCTAATTTTTTGTTGCCCAGGCCTAGAATGGACTTCTGGAAGAAGCATCCACATAGAGAACCAGTTGTTCACATATTTGAATCCCACCACTGGTGAAAAGCATCTAAGAATATAATCAAAACAAGAAATTGGCAGTATAATTTGAATGTAGAACACTGATTTCCAATGTATTTTAAATCAGGCATCCCCAACCATGGCCACTGTGTCTGGCTGAGGAATTCTGGGAGTTGAAGGGACCTTGGAGATCATCTAGTCCAACCCCCTGCTCAGGCAGGAAACCCTATACCATTTCAGACAAATGGCTGTCCAGTCTCTTCTTAAAAACTTCCAGTGTTGGAACATTCACCGCTTCTGGAGGCAGGTTGTTCCATTGGTTAATTGTTCTAACTTCTAAGGAAGTTTTCCTTAGTTCTAGGTTGCTTCTCTCCTTGATTAGTTTCCATCCGTTGCTTCTTGTCCTGCCTTCCAGCGCTTTGGAGAATAACTTGACTCCCTCTTCTTTGTGGCAGCCCCTGAGGTATTGGAATACTGCTATCATGTCCCCCCTCGTCCTTCTCTTCATTAAACTAGACATACCCAATTCCAGCAACCGTTCCTTATATGTTTTAGCTTCCAGTCCCCTGATCATCTTTGTTGCTCTTCTCTGTATTCTTTCTAGAGTCTCAACATCTTTTTTACATCGTGGTGACCAAAACTGGACGCAGTATTCCAGCTCTAACAATGCAACAAGTCAATTCTGAGCTACACATTCAACTCCCATGACAGTAATGAATCTGTCTGAGTCAGGTTTCTTTAAACCAGGGGTATGAAACTGCCGGCCCGTTGGCCAGTTGCATCATGCAGAGGCTGCGCCCACCCTAGCTCTGACAATGTGGAAAAAGTCACGATACATCACGACACATCACGTGACACGGCGAGTTTGACACCTGTGCTTTAAACAGTAATGTCTCTGTATATCTTTAAAATATATCCTGCTAAAGGAAATGTCTTATATAATAGAGCTAGTGTTAAATCACAACCTATCTCCCACCAAGGCAACAATCCATATTACCTAATTCAATGGTTTCACAGTTTTACATTTTGATGGTGTGAAATGGCATGAAACCCAAATAAAAGTCATTCACTTGAAACTGTTCTACTTTATGAACTGGAAAAGGTCAAAGATATGCAACACTGAATCTTCATTACAGACCGATTGCTTATTTAAGGACACATTCACATTAAGAGGCCACATGTGAACGAAAATGTATTTTTTTTTTAACTTGGTTTATGATGGAGGTGTTGACTGGAAGGCGGTCTCAGGCTAACAGAGCTGTGCTTTGAAAGTTACCGTGAATGATGAACTGTGTTCCGCTGTAATGACGTTATTAGCTTTGGCAAGAAGTTTAAACAATTCAGCTATCTCTCCCATTTTGCCAACCATAAAGAAAATATTTGAAAAAAAATATGTGTTTAAAGTGCAGAATAATAAAGCACCAAGCCCACAGTTCACTGGCAGACACGCTTGTTGTTTTAGAAGGTGTGCATATAATGGGGAGAGATAAACAGGAACAATGCCAAGCGGCTTTTTCAGCAGAGGTCTCTGTATTCTTGGGCTGCTGATTTGGCTTTCTCAGTTTTCTGCCAGGCTACCAAGTTTAAAACAAGCAGCTGGATCAGGGTTGTAAAGGTACCCTAGGCCTTTATTACAATGTGCACATGAAACTTATTTTACACACACACTTTACAAAACAAGAGGAATCATTAAAGTCCAGATGTTGAATTAAATGTACCCCATGAGTTAATTTGTCTTTAGTAAGAGCATACTCAAAAGGATATTTTTATTTACTTATTTGTTTAACAATGCTAATCACCCAATCCAGTCCAAATGGACTCTGAAGGAGACCTACCCAAGTCCAAAGATGTGCACTAAAAATGTATATGATAACTAAAGTCAACAACAACCAAAGAAACCCAACAGCATCAAAGGCACAATTCAGTTAACAAAAGGGCTAAATCTACAAAGGAACAATGCTTTGACTTGTTGTCAAAAAACCTGTACAATATTAACTATCCATACTACTAACCTATCTTCTCCTTTGTTTTTTTTTTTAATCTTATCACATTCTTTATGTTTTGTCAGCCCAAACAGGTAGACTAGGCTAAGAAACAGTGACTATATAGACCAGGGGTGTCAAACTCGCTATGTGATGTGATGTGTCTCGACGTATCATGACTTTTTTGCCATTGCCAGCAATGGGGTGAGCACGGTTTCGCTATGATGCATCCGGCCTATGGGCTGGCAGTTTGACACCCCCTGGTATAGACCTAAAGCTACTTTTGTTAGAATGGTTATAGTAACCAAATCTTGCAAGTCTAAATGTGCTTCCTTGCTCTGCTGTTTATCTTTATGCAAGTTAGGAGGAGGGGAGCTGAGGCATTTTTCTTAGGCATTTTCTTGGCCTGGATTCAATATTCATTTATCTGATTGTTGCTTTGGTAATGCACATTTTCACTTTAGCTAAATTCCAGGATGAAAAACTGTCTTGGAGTCACAAAGAAAGTAAAACAGAAGGCAAAACTCTTGTCTCTGCTTTATAGGCAAACAAACCAAGGCAAGTTTAATAAATAATTGTACCTCATTTGGTCTTGCGTAGGCTTTTGTGTTTAGCAAAGTCTGATTATAAAAGGGCATTTAATTCTTGCTATACTACACAAAAAATATAACATTTTTGTTTTATTTTTATTTATTAAAAATCCCATTAGTTGGAAAAAGTAAGATGATAGCATTCCTGTGAAACAATAGATTTTTTTATTATGAAGGCAATTATAGGGTATAAAATTCAAGTTACCAATATAATTTTAGAATGGTGAGAAATAATTAGCTGGTGCATGTGGTTCTGGTTTAATAATCCATTCTGCAACATATTGTTAGCTGTAGTAAATTCTTAGGAATCTACTTGACAAAGAAAATAGGCACCTGACAAAGAATATAAAAAATACAATAGTATTTGGAGCAAGGGGTCAGTTGTAATACAACACATGTTATGGGCTCTCTGTTCTCTTACCTGATTAGAAATGAGCCTTGCAAGCACATCCATATGAGATCCTGACTCTGAGATCATTTTAGCTGCATTAATCACATCTGAGGTATTCTTCAGTGGTCCTCTGCCCCTTTAAGTAAAACAATATATATATAATGAATATTAAACATCCCGTACAGCTTAGAATAAATATGAGAATACAATTTCTTTTAGTCCTCTAAGAATGTCTCTGTCGCATTTGAAAACAGGAGATGTATCTGCAAGGGCTGATGCCATAAAATCAAGGTAGAGGCTGCAAGCAGGCGATCAGATTTTATCTATTGCATGTCTGATTCCCAAGGTGGCCTACAATCCATCTATAGCAGGGGTCTTCCAACTTGGCCCTTTTATGACTTGTGGACTTCAACTCCCAGAATTCACGCGTGCCTGGCTGAGGAATTCTGGGAGTTGAAGTCCACAAGTCATAAAAGGGCCAAATTGGAAGACCCCTGATCTACAGTAATGCTTTAAATCAACTTCTAAAAGGTAAATTAGTAAATAATGGTACATGTTGTCTGGATGACCAGGAAATGAAGAGAATTATTATAACTACACACACTCGGATACATCTATAATGAAAACAAATAATTCAGATTGCTATGCAATCTTCTCTGAGCAATAACAATTGACATTTGGCAACCTTTAAAACAAAATTTGCTGAACTGCTAGAAAAGGAGACAAGCAACCTCTTCATCCAATCTTGTATGACTCTAAGACCAGAAGAGGTGTCATAAATTCAACACCCCCTCGTGATCTAAACACACCTTACCTTTGAAAAAGGCATTGAAAGGACAGGTGAATATTTCTATTTTCTTTAAGGGGCAAAGCCAAAGACATTCTCAAATGGGAATTTCAAATATTCCTTTTGAAAAGAAAGAAGGCAAAATACTAAATCTGCTTGTGATGTCAAAGGATACCAAATAAGGTGGTAATTTTTTGGGGGGAGGGGAAGTACAAATCCCGCTCAATAACTGCATCGAGCATTATTATGAAAATTTTGAAACTCACCCTGCCTTACCAATTAAAGTGGAAGTCTTACAAAACGATGTATCGTTGATGTGTGACACTAGAAGTATAACTTCAAATCACTGTTGAAAATGTGAACTAGAGATATGGCGATGCAGAGAATTTTAAAAATTGATAATCAGAAGCAACTGGACTTTTGCTATAGAAAAAAGGGTTGCTTGGTATGCATCTAGTATGCAATGTGGGAAATAGATTAGGACAGTGGTGGCAAACCTATGGCACGCGTGCCAGAAGCGGCACTCGGAGCCCTCTCTATGGGCACACGTGCTGTTGCCTCAGCCTCACCTCCCCCCACAACCGCCTCACCAGCAGCCCCCGGAGGAGAGTCGCCCCTGAGCATGGTCCACACGGAGCAGCGCAGCCAAGGACATGGCAGCCAGGCAGCATAGACAAGATCTGCCCTCATGCCCCATCCCGCACAGTTGATGCTGTGGGGCACGGGCAGAGGGCATGGCCGCTATGGTGCTGCTGGGCTGCTTGGGCGATCTGTGGCAGGCCCTGGAGGCGGTGAGTGGCCCTGGGGGCAGCCAGAGTGGGGGATGGGGTGGGGGCGGGGCCAGGTTTTGGGCACTCAATCTCTAAAAGGTTTGCCATCACTGGATTAGGACTTATGGACAGTCAACTTAAAAAGGCTCGTGGATATTGGCTTTATATATGGCAACTGCAGCAAGGTTATTATAAGCACAAAGATGGGAGAATATAGAAAGGAATGGATTGTGAAGATGACAGACCCTGCAGAAATGGCTAAACTGATTTATTTGACTAAGGAGGGACAAAAAAATACTTTAAAAACAGAGTGGAAACCCTTATGGACTTTTTGCTGAAAATGGATAAACATGAATTGATGGTTTCAGGCTTTATTGGTTAAAAATGTTTATGGGTAAAAAGGAATTAAAAGATATAATTTGAGAGGGAGGAAATGGTAATGTCTGTGTTTGCACTGCTTCAAAGAAGATAACAAGTCACTTCTTTAAATACCGGTATTTATTTTTCTTTCTCTTTTTGTTATCTTTCACTTTTTTACTTTTTCATATTTCTTTATTTTTTTCTACTTTTACTTTGGAAATAATAAGTTATGTAAAGCTTTCTTTTAGTAAAAATTATATCTTTAAAAAAAATCTATGTTGAGAGTACATAGTCTTAAATCCTGGCAAATCAGTGATAATCACTAATCCTTGCTTATGTCCAGAATTGATTAACTCCAAATTGAAGAGAAAAAAAGAAAAAATGTGGGGAGTTGCCCCTTCTCATGCCTTTTTTTTAAAAAGGTATTTTTAATAAATGACTGGTCTTCAAAGCACATTGAATTAAGATTTGGTTTTAGCCATTCCTTTCATTCCCTCAGAGGAAAGAATTAATAATTTTCTTTTCTCTACTGTGTTTAAAAGCAAACATTAGAGCTTGAATTTCCAGCAGCCAATTTTTGCAATTACTTTGCTGAAAATAATCCTGTAAAATAAATTTGGTTTGATCATTTCATTTTCAAACAAGCCTGTTTTAAATTAGATAATTTACATGTCTCGAATTCAGTCCTTAGAATTGGGAATAATACTTGAAATAATTGTCTTAACAATACCCAACATATCTGGATTTCTCATAATTCTTCAAATCTCAAAGTTTTAGAATATAATTTAACCATTAAACCATTTCCCATAAATGTTTTGTATATTCATGTTATTCCAGAATGATACCAGTGGCTCACAAGACCAAATCATTTGAATGAATGACTGCTCAGATTGTTTATATCACTAACAAAGAACTCTATGTCCATCTATTTTGAAGTGTCCATAAACTCAAATTATTTTGAGGAATCAATTTTAATTTTAAATCCAGTGAAAACAATTTGATATTTTTAAGACCTGCAATCATTGATACTCCATTATCTATTGTTCCACATTTTTGCCCATAACCTGTAAATGTGACTAATACCAACTTTTAAAATATCCTCTAGTTTTTGATACAAATATGGTGTAGATTTAGTTTTAGACATTAATTCCATCGGAATGAAAGCACTTCTGGTTTCCTCGAAGCAGCCAAAGCTGCTGGTTCATACAGAACTCTGAGACGGGCTTGAGTTGATTGTATTGTCACTGTGGAGAATTAGGTTGCCAATATCCCATCTGAAGTCTAGGAAAAAACCTTGCAGCAATCATTGAAAAGTAATTGATTTTAAATTGATTCCAGATTTCACCTGGTTTTCAATAGAACATTTTTCGCTCTATTTTTAAAGTATAGTTCTTCCGTAGTTCAATATTCATGGGGCAGTTGATATCCCCAGGTCAGACAGATGTGCAAAAATCCTACATTTGAGGCCTCTTCCGTGTTTGCCATATTCCTCCAAACCAGCGGTTCTCAACCTATGGGTCGCGACCCCATTTGGGGTCGATCGACCATTTTTCGGGGGTCGCCAAAGAAGGCGATCCGCCATTTTCTGCCCTCAGGGGGCGCCGCCGCGCATGCGCGCCACGCATGGGGTGGCACTGCGCATGCGCACTGCGCATGGGGGTGGCACCGCGCATGCGTGCCGCGCATGGGGGCGGTGCCCGCATGCGTGCCGTGCATGCGCGTCGCTGCATATGCGCAGAACGTTTGTGTGATGGGGGTCGCCGTCACACAAACGTTGAGAACCACTGCTCCAAACACATGAGATGCCAGTAGTACAATCTTGTAATATGCCCCATCAGAAATACAGCTATCCTATTTCGTACCTAACATTTCATGAGTCAAGAAAGAAAAGATCTTTAATTAATTTGATGTTGAATCTGATAACAGCTGCAAGATTATTGGTGGGGCAATATTGGAAGAAAAACTCTTTGCCTACTATGGAAGAATGGATACTTAAGGTATCTAATTTAGCAGAAATGGCAAAAATCTCCACATATTTGAAGGATTGTTCACAAGAAAAATATATTTCGGTTTGGAGAAGATGGATTGATTATATTCAGAATAAATATGAGACTGAAAAGTATTATTTAGCTTATGTGTAAATTTTAGATTATTATTAATAGTTTAATATGGTTTATTAATAGTAGTTTAATATGGTTGAATTTATATTATTTTTAGTATTATGGTTTAATTATATTATTATTTTTGTTCTTAATTTTTTAATATTCATTTTGAAAGGGATATGGTTGAATTTATATTATTTTTAGTATTATGGTTTAATTATATTATTATTTTTATTCTTAATTTTTTAATATTCATTTTGAAAGGGAGTTAAAGTATGTTATGGATTTGATTGCTAAGATAGTTGGATAATGTTAGTTAGATTATGATTGTTTATTTTTAACCCTGTAATCAGCTTTGGGAAGTGGGGGAGGGGGGGAGGGATTTGGGATATATATTGTATAAAATTTTTAAAACTTTTAATAAAAAAAGAAAGAAAAGATCTTTCAAACAATATCTGACATCACATCTTCTGCCTCTCTGAAAGCAATTGGCACCCACACAGGTGCTTTGATGGTTCTGCCTTGCTGCTCAGAAGCTTGTGGAAGCAGCTTTATCAAATGATAACATAGGAAGAAGAATATTATGCTTTGCCACCCATTGCCAGCTGGAGAGAAAAGAGGAAAAAAAAATCAATGAAGTGGACAGCTTAAAACTGTTAAGTTTGAAGCTGGGAAACCACAAAGGAAAGAATACTATTTTCCTTCAAATGTTGGAAATGGGTGTAAATTGTCTGGCTTTCTGAAAATGGACACTTACTGAAAAACATAGCTTTGGAGGCATTCTAGAGTTCTATCCAAAGTATGGCTCAGCCTTTGAAAGGAATGGGTTAGTGCTGAGATTTCAATTCAGTAAAAGTAGCCACTTAAAATGATCCAGTATCAACATATTATCATTTATGGTGGACATGCCCAGTTGCAAAAAAATACTGGACTACAATAAAAAAAATGGATCGAAGAAATAATAGACCAACCCGTAGACTGGAAACCAGAGATCTTTTTGTTGGGTATTTTAAACAGAAAATATAGTAAAGAAATATGGTACTTAATTTTACATATAATAACAGCGGCAAGAATAGCATATGCACAGTGCTGGAAAAATTAGAATATACCATCAGAA